GCCTTTTGGGGCTGGTGGCCCCAACTGGTGGACCCTCGGGACCCTCCCGGTGGTCCCAGTACGTTACCGATAGCACCCGAAACTTTTCCGGTGACCAAAACGGGACTTCCTATATATAAATCTTTACCTCCGGACCATTCCGGAACTCCGCGTGACGTCCGGGACCCATCCGGGACTCCGAACAACATTCGGTAACCGCGTACATACTTTCCTTATAACCCTTGAGTCATCGAACCTTAAGTGTGTAGACCCTACGGGCTCGGGAATAATGCAGACATGACCGAGACATCTCTTTGGTCAATAACCATCAGCGGGATCTGGATACCCATGTTGGCTCCCACATGTTCCATGATGATCTCATCGGATGAACCACGATGTCAAGGATTCAGTCAATCCCGTATACAATTCCCTTTGTCTACCGGTATAGTACTTGCCCGATATTCGATCGTCGGTATCCTGATACCTTATTCAATCTCGTTACCGGCAAGTCTCTTTACTCTTTCCGTAACACATCATCCCGTGATCAACTCCTTGGTCACATTGTGCACATTATGATGATGTCCTACCGAGTGGGCCCAGAGATACCTCTCCGTTTACACGGAGTGACAAATCCCATTCTCGATTCGTGCCAACCCAACAGACACTTTCGGAGATACCTGCAGTGCACCTTTATAGCCACCCAGTTACGTTGTGACGTTTGGTACACCCAAAGCATTTCTATAGTATCCGGGAGCTGCACAATATCATGGTTTAAGGAAATGATACTTGACATTAGAAAAGCTTTAGCAGACGAACTATACGATCTTGTGCTAGGCTTAGGATTGGGTCTTGGCCATCACATCATTCTCCTAATGATGTGATCCCGTTATCAATGACATCCAATGTCCATGATCAGCAAACCATGACCATGTATTGATCAACGAGCTAGTCAACTAGAGGCTTACTAGGGACATGTTGTGGTCTATGTATTCACACATGTATTACGGTTTCCGGATAATACAATTATAGCATGAACAATAGACAATTATCATGAACAAGGAAATACAATAATAACCATTTTATTATTGCCTCTAGGGCATATTTCCAACAATATACTAACCCCTCACGCTGATGGTAAACTTGCGGTGGTAGGACGACACCCTTTTTTGGATGTGGTGGTAGGTTAACACCAAGGTAGTGTTAGGTTGAACTTGCTATGTCGTATGATCATGCATGGTTTACTTCTCTTCTGCTCCATTGTTGTTTGTATGCTACTTTTCTTGCTACTTGTGCTCCATTGATTTGTTGCTTCAAGTCTTGCTCTTGTGCATTGCTAGGGCAAGTGGTATGCCGTGTTCATCGGTGAGGTTCCAGGGGTTTATAGTTCATGGGAAGAAGCCAATGCACAAGTGGCATCGTATAGCAACAACAACTATAGAGGGTTCAAGACTAGGCAGGCAGCAGAACAAGCTTACTCCGCCTGGGTGCGAAAGCACGAAGGCAGCAGTGTCGACAGTGCCAAGGTTGGAGCTATCAAAGTGGAAGCTGCTAAGGTGGATCGTCAGTTCGGCTTGAAGCTGAAGAACTTCATCATCTTCGCCCAGTTCATCACCATTGCTGTGTTGTGGCGTTGGTGTGCTAGGTGTGATCATTGTGGGTAAGCTCACCAACTAGGTACAAGGTAAGCACAACATGTACGCCGTATGCAACCAAACACCGTGTTCATGTGCCGCTAGGGCCAATCCAGCCAACCAAACAAAGTGCACTTGCGTATTACCTAATGCAGGGACTAGGGATGCAGACAACCAAACAAGTTGCATATGGCGTATTAGGGCCTGTTTTTTCTCAATCAGACTGGGTTGAGAAGGGTATGCAATGCGACTACTGTTCCAAACTGGAACCAAACACGCCCTTAGTGATAAGTTGTAGGTGTGCGTTGTACTTGAGGCTATTTCAAACCTGTTTTCTTTGAGTTTTTTTCTTCTCTATTTTTCCATTCTTTTTCGCACTTCGCTTCTTTAATTTTTTCACTTGTTTGTTCTTTTGCTTATTATTCTACATTTTTTATACGTCAACAACACTTTTGTCTGGTTTCTTGTGTGGGTTTTGAATAGGACCTTTTGGAGACTGAGCTCCATAGAGTACATGTATATACTTCCTTTTTAGTTCAAAAATTCTAGAAAAATACCCTGTATGTGCGTGTAAAATTTCATGATTAAATATCTTGAATTGCGACCTGTACAAGAAAAAAACCATGGACTTTGAGCAATGAACAGATCATGTGTTGAAAAGCCACAAATTTGTTTTTCTTTGCACAACCCTCATTTCAACGTATTTCATCATGAAAATTTACACACATGTACATTATGCCTCTAGGTATATGTGTAGTTTCTTTGATACATAAAAGTATGAATTTTGAATCTTCCAGATTCAAAATCTATGGAGCTCCTCCTGCATTCATGTTTTTTGGGGTTTTACCTGTTATTATTGCTGTTTTTGGTTTTTTGTGTTTCTTTACCTTTTTTCTGTCTTTTTTTCATGATATTCGGTTTTTGGTTTTCTTTTTCTGTGTTTCTTTCTGATTTTCTTCGTATTTTTTATTTGTAGTTTTATTAAATCAATTATATGTCGACTTTTTGCACTACATGTTTACATTGTTTGTATACATGTTGAATATTTTAAAAATACATAATGAGTATTTTTTGGTACACATTGTACATTTTTCCGATACAAGTTTAACATTTTTTGATACATGTTATACATTTTTCGTACACACATTTAATTTTTCTTGATACATGTTGAACATTTTTCAAATACATGATTAATATTTTTCCAAAATAATATTTTCAATCATTTTTTATGGATGATAAACATTTTCCCATACATGATGAACTTTTTTTGAAGGGTATGGAACCTTTTTTTGTCCTACGCAAACATCTTTTTACAATATATTAACGTATTATTAAATGTGACAAACATATTTTAAATTGTCACAAACATATTTTTGTATGGTATGCAACATTTTTTTATATTCCACGAACATTTATTTACATAATGTAAACATTTTTCTTAAATGTCACAAACAATTATTTTGAATGTGTGAACATACTGTAAATGTCACGTACTTTTTTTTGAATGGTACAAAGCATTTTATAAAATTATGCAAACATTTTTTTGCCTTATATAAACATTTTATAAAATGTGACGGACATTTTCAAATGTGTGAGTATCTTTTTGAGTGGTATAAAATACCTTTTTCAAAATTACGTGAACATTTCCTTAAAATGTCACAAACAATTTTTTTGAAACACATGAACACTTTTTAAATTGGCGCGGACATTATTTTTACACAACATGGGCATTTTTGTGTGATGAATGTTTTAAAATTATTATCAAAGTAATTTCGGAATATCTAGAGGGAAAAAAGAAAGAAAGAAACAAATGAACGAACTAACATTCGTAGCAACTACCGTGCCAGTCAGTAGCGCGTTGCGCAGGGCGAGGGAAATGCTCGCTGCGGGTGAGCTATAGACACATCCTCAACTACGTGCGTATGCTTAGCATCCAAGTCGTGTGGCACAAGCCGTGAGGTGGGTTGGGCTCCATTGGCTTATGGTGTGTCATGCTAGGCAGGAGCGTATAGCCTGAAAAGCTAAAGGCACGGGGCACATTATCAAGCTAGAACGGCTTCAATTTGTATGACGAGAAAGATATCTTATCCTTTGGTGCACTTTAACCGACGAAGCTGATATATTTATTGTTGAAAGTATCCTCGATCCCAAAGTCAGGCATTGAGTTTGCCTAGCCTCACCTAGTCATTTTTGTAGGCGAGCGTGTTAGCGAATGTATCACTTGTAGCGCGCACTATGAACGAAATGCTCATTGGTGATCAACTTGGCTCGGCCCATAACATTCAGCATTGTTTTAGGAAGGTACTTACGCGACAATGAGATTTGATCATAGATTCTTCAGATCGATTCAACAGCGACCATTATGACTCTAGAGCGCTGGTCATTGACGCACCGCAGTCTTGTTCTAGCGACGCATTGACCATTCATGGTACATGCATTTCGATGTGATTCTTATATTAACCCTTGTATTTAAAGTCCTTTGTACTTCCGCTGAATCCTGGATGTGGATCTTTTTGAAAATAATTCATTTATTACGTCACTGCAACAGTAAGACTGGTTGTAATGAAGAGTATCATATACTAGTATGATACTAGTCTATGATACTATATTCTAGGACATGCATGATACTACAACCAGAGTACTTATGATACTACTTATGATACTACCTCCGTAATATCATATTTGGTATCATAGATGACTATATTTATTGCCATGCATGACATAAAGTAGCACATCATTTAATATGATACGGTATCATGATATGATACTCGAGCCTCTCTTTCTTCATTTAATTCTATGTCACTTCGTCAAAATTATTTAGTTAGCATGCATGATACTCCCACTACAGCCAGCCTAAAAGTTGTAGTCGCAGGAGTACTATGTATCAATAATGGCAGTCGATGGGCGATCGGCATGTGAGTAGGAGAAATGTAACTTGTGCTCGTGGGCTCGTGGCAATGCTCTGAAGAGCGAGCAAACAAAGCCTTCTAGAAGAAGCCGGCGTCGATCCGAAGAGCAGATTGGGATGACGGAAACTCGCGGGAAGAAGGCTCCACGGAGAGTACCGTCACGGATGACGTTACCACTCCCAAAGGCGCCACTCTGGATGAGATGAGGACTGTGGAGCTGTCCCTTTACGACGGCGGCTTCAGGCACCGTGTCAGAGCTTAAATTCTGTCGAGATGTGTCGCTGAGCTCAGCTCACGGTCTCACGTCGCCATGCATTGCTCTACCAGACCACCACCATGTCCAAATTTGACTGGATTCGAGCAGGCCACACTATATTATCCCCGTTCCCGGTGGGTTTGTTTGCAGGGCGGCAGAGCAGAGGCACAACACACAAACCAACCCAAAACCATTTCCTACTAGCTAGAAGAGTGAAGTGAAGCGATGAAGAAGACCGTGGTCCTGTACCCTGGCCTCGGCGTCGGCCACCTGGTGCCGATGGTGGAGGTCGCCAAGTTGTTCCTCAAGCACGGCCTCGCCGTCACCGTGGCGCTCGTCGAGCCGCAGGTCGAGTCCACGGACTTCTCCGCCGCGGTCGCCCGCGCGAGGGCCTCCAACCCCTCCGTCGCCTTCCACGTCCTGCCGTCGCCGCCCGCAGATTCAAACCCCGACGGCGCGCCCAGGCACCACGTCGTCAAGGTTATCCAATTGCTCGCCGCCATGAATGCGCCCCTCCGCGACTTCCTCCGCTCGCTGCCCGCCGTCCACGCGCTCGTCCTCGACATGTTCTGCGTCGACGCCCAGGACGTCGCGGCCGAGCTCAAGCTGCCGGTCTACTACTCGTTCGCCTCCGCTGCCGCCGACCTCGCCATCTTTCTCAACCTGCCGAGCAAGTTCGCCAGCAATACGGCCAAGGTAAAAGAGCTCGGCGACTCCATCATTACCTTCCCGGGTGTTCCTCCTTTCAAGGCTTCGGAGCTGCCCTCCGAAGTTATCGGCGACGATGAAGCGCTCGTGTACGTCTTACGCATGTTTGAGCGAATGGCAGAGGCGAAAGGAATTCTTATCAATTCCTTCGATTCGTTGGAAGAGCCCGCACTGAGCGCTCTCAACGACGGACTTTGCGTCCCTGGTCGTGCGACGCCGCCGGTATACTGCATTGGACCGTTGGTCTCGGGAGGCGGAGACAAGGAGCACGAGTGCCTCCGCTGGCTGGACGCGCAGCCGGACCAGAGCGTGGTGTTCCTCTCCTTCGGCAGCCTGGGCACATTCTCCAGTAAGCAGCTCGAGGAAATTGCAGTTGGTTTGGAGAAGTCAGGGGAGAGGTTCCTGTGGGTTGTAAGGAGCCCGCGCAGTCCCGACCAGAAGCACGGCGATCCGCTCCCGGAGCCTGACCTCGACGCGCTCATGCCGGAAGGGTTCTTGGAGAGGACCAAGGACAGAGGGCTCGTGGTGAAGTCTTGGGCGCCGCAGGTGGAGGTCCTGCGCCACAGGGCGACCGGCGCATTCATGACGCACTGCGGCTGGAACTCGACGCTGGAGGGCATCACGGCAGGGTTGCCGCTGCTGTGCTGGCCGCTGTACGCGGAGCAGAAGGTGAACAAGGTGCACATAGTGGAGGGAATGAAGCTCGGGGTGGAGATGAGAGGCTACAGTGAAGAGGTGGTTAAGGCCGAGGAGGTGGAGGAGAAGGTCAGATGGGTTATGGCGTCCGAGGGAGGCATGGCACTCAGGGTGCGGGTAGCGGCAGCGAAGGATGCGGCGGCTGAGGCGCTCCAGGAAGGGGGCTCGTCCAACTTGGCGTTTGCCCAATTCCTCAAAGACATGGACATTTCCAAGGTCTCAACCATGCACGATTGATGCGAAGCTTGTAAACTCTACTTAATGTTGGATTTTCTTTTTAGAAACACACTGCGGACGCACATTACTCAGGCAAACTTATTCCTATATGAACGCATGAGCGCATCCTGCCTATATGAACACTTTTGGAAAACTGAGCCGGAAGATCGTGAGATTGATGAAGTCATCACAATCATTTCGTAGTCTAACGAATATACCACCAAAAAGAATAGCATCGAAAAAACTGGAACTAATCCAAAAAATATGTGAGCACCCATATGCCAAATCTAACATTGAGTCTGGGAGCTTAGTTATTTCTCTAACAACAAGAACATTACTCTTCAGCAGATTCTCGGAACACAAGACCTTGGAGAACACTTCCATAGATACATGCCACAACAGGCATTCCAGCAAGTTCAACATTTTTCGGACATGAAAAAAAAGTGTTTCTCCTAATGATGAGTCAAGATACTAAGCAAGGTTAGTTGATAAAGGTTATAGCCAGATTCCAGGTATTGACTATAATGAAGTCTTTTTCTCCTGTTGTAAAGCATAGCTCTATTTGCACTTTACTCAGTATTGTTGCCATGCATAATTTTGAGCTTGAACAATTAGATGTTAAAACTGCATTTTTACATGGAGAATTAGAAGGGGATATCGAAATGGAACAACCTGAAGATTTTGTTATTCCTGGAAAAGAAAAGCTTGTCTGTAAGTTAATAAAATCTCTTTATGGACTGAAGCAATCTCTTAGACTGTGGTATAATAGATTTCACACTTTTATGCTCTCCCAAGGTTTCAAAAGGTCTAATTATGATAACTGTATATATTTGAAAACTGTCAATGGTTCAGCTATTTATTTGCTCATTTACATTGATGATATGTTAATTGCTTCAAAGAGTATGCCGGAGATTAATGAATTAAACAAGCAATTCAGTAACGAATTTGAGATGAAGGATACAAGTACAACAAAGAAAATACTTGGCATGGAAATATCCAGAGATAGACTATCAAGAAAAGTGTATCTAAGTCAGAAGGGATATATTGATAAAGTTCTTCATCGTTTTAATATGCATAATGCCAAGTCAGTAACGAGTCAGATGCAGATATTGAGTACATATTTAGAGTTTTCTATTCGAGTGCAGTTGGTTCATTTATGTATGCAATGGTTTGTTCTTGTCCAGATTTTTCATATGCATTGAGTGTTGTTAGCAGGTACATGGCTAATCCTGGAAAAGAGTACTGGAAAGTAGTTCAGTGGATTTTTAGATACCTGTGTGGTACTTCTAATGCTTACTTGCAGTTTGGAAAACTAGAGATTCACTTATTGGTTTTGTTGATTCTGATTTTGCTGGTGATTTGGATAAGAGAAGATCACTGACAGGTTATGTTTTCACCATTGGTGGTTGTGCTGTGAGTTGAAGAGCAACTTTGTAGTCTATTGTGGCTTGTTCCACTACTGGTGCCGAGTATATATGGCTATTTTTAAGGCATGCAAAGAAGCTATCTGGTTGAGAGGTTTGTATGCCGACCTTTGTGAAGATTCATCTTGCCTAACCATATTTTCTAACATTCAAAGTGTAATATGTCTTACAAAGAATCCAATGTGTCATGATAGAACAAAGCACATTAATGTCCGATTTCAGTACATTCGAAATATTATTGCTGAAGGCGATTTGAAGATAAGAAAGATAAGTACTCATGATAATCCTGCAGATATGATGATAAAGCCAGTTCCTACCAATAAGTTAGAGCTTTGCTCAAGCTTAGTTGGTATTTGTCACTAGTCCTATAGACTTTGACGCCCAAGGTGTTTATGCTAATTTGGATTGAGTATTTACTTTCTTGGACTACCAGAGGGAATTTGGCTCAATGTGGAGATTTTAAATTATGATCCAAATTCTACCGCCTTGGACTAGACGTGGTACACATGTTGTGGGCGTTGCGTTGGCATTGACACGTACGAGTACCACTCGTTTACTTGTCCTCCAAGGACTCTTGTGTATTGTCTCTCACATATACCCCATGTAGTCGCACCTAACGACTGCATGTCGTCTCGTGCTTGTAATACTCCTCCATCACAGTGATTGCGTCTTCGTGCGTCCGTGGTTTTCTCCCACAAGGGTTTGTATGTAAAACTTTGTGTCTCTCATGTCTCGTTTATTCTCATTTTATCTAATAGTAATTTGTAACAAGTAGCAACAAACAATAGTAGCAATAGTGTAGCAAGGTGGCTCACTCCTTTTTATAGCAAAGGACAATCAGAAAGTACTTCTTATAATGAGCAAAGCATTTTCGAGGACACATATGAATATTGTCTAGTTAACTTTCATCATGTTTAGTTAATTCGCGTTCACTACTTTGATAATTTGATATGTGGGTGGACCGGTGCTAGGGTGATGTTCTTACTTGAACTAGCAACCCTCTTATGATTACCCCATCTCGCAAGCATCCACAACTAAGAAATAAGAATTAAGATAAATCTAACCATGGCATGAAACGTATGGATCCAAATCAGCCCTTACAAATTAATGCATAAACTAGGGTTTAAGCTTTTGTCACTCTCGCAACACATCATCTACTTATTACTCCACAATGCCTTCCCCTGGGCCCAAACATGGTGAAGTATCATGTAGTCGACATTCACACGACACTATTAGAGGAAGAACGACATACATATTATCAAAATATTGAAGGAATACCAACTTCACATAATTACTTATAACAAGACTTCTCCCATGCCCTCAAGAACAAACATAACTACTAACAAATCATGTTCATGTTCAAGATCAGAGGAGTATAATATATGATTAAGGATCTGAACATATGATCTTCCACCAAATAAACCAACTAGCATCAACTACAAGATGTATTCAACACTACTAGAAACTGCTACCTCTTGAGCACTGCGTTGGTTTTCCCCGAAGAGGAAGGGATGATGCAGCAAAGTAGCGTAAGTATTTTCCTCAATTTTTGAGAACCAAGGTATCAATCCAGTAGGAGGCTACGCGTGAGTCCCTCGTACCCGCACAAAACAAATAAAAATCCTCGCAACCAACGCGAATAGGGGTTGTCAATCCCTACACGGCCACTTACGAGAGTCAGATCTGATAGATATGATAAGATAATATTTTTGGTATTTTTGTGATAAATATGCAAAGTAAAATAAAGGCAAAGTAAAAAGCAAAGGAAATAACTAAGTAGTAGGAGATTAATATGATAAAGATAGACCCGGGGGCCATTGGTTTCACTAGTGGCTTCTCTCGAGAGCATAAGTATTCTACGGTGGGTGAACAAATTACTGTTGAGCAATTGACAGAATTGAGCATAGTTATGAGAATATCTAGGTATGATCATGTATATAGGCATCACATCCGAGACAAGTAGACCGACTCCTGCCTGCATCTACTACCATTACTCCACTCATCGACCGCTATCCAGCATGCATCTAGAGTATTAAGTTAAAAACAGAGTAACGCCTTAAGCAAGATGACATGATGTAGAGGGATAGTTTCATGCAATATGATAAAAACCCCATCTTGTTATCCTCGATGGCAACGATACAATACGTGCCTTGCTGCCCCTTCTGTCACTGGGAAAGGACACCGCAAGATCGAACCCAAAGCTAAGCACTTCTCCCATGGCAAGAACAACCAATCTAGTAGGCCAAACCAAACTGATAATTCGAAGAGACTTGCAAATATAACCAATCATACATAAAAGAATTCAGGGAAGATTCAAATATTATTCATAGATAGACTTGATCATAAACCCACAATTCATCGGTCTCAACAAACACACCGCAAAAAGAAGATTACATCGAATAGATCTCCATGAGAGAGGGGAGAACATTGTATTGAAATCCAAAAAGAGAGAAGAAGCCATCTATCTACTAACTATGGACCCGTAGGTCTGAAGTAAACTACTCACACTTCATCGAAGAGGCTTGGATGATGATGTAGAAGCCCTCCGTGATCGATGCCCCCTCCGGTGGAGCTCCGGAACAGGCCCCAAGATGGGATCTCGTGGATATAGAAAGTTGCGGCGGTGGAATTAGGTTTTTGGCTCCATACCTGATCGTTTGGGGGTACGTAGGTATATATAGGAGGAAGGATTACGTCGGTGGA